GCAGTCGCTTAACCAACTGAGCCACCCAGGCGCCCCTGGGCCCTAAAATTCTTGAGTAAAACTGGAGTCTGGATTTTTTTTTAAACCAAAGGTCATCCTTGTTCCTGCCAGAAAGAGAGGGTAGTGAAAAATGACTATCCTGAGTCAAATGACCTAGGTTCCAGCCCTGGTTTGCTCTGGCAGTAATCAACCATGTGGCCTTGGCCCAGACTCTTCTTTTCTCCTGGTCTCAGTTTCTCCATTTGTACATTGAGAACCTTGAACTAGATATGAACCCTCCCAGCTCTATAAATTTACATATCTGGGATTCCATGAAGACAGCATATTCTTTACATTAAGAGTAGAAGAGAAAGAGGTTTCAAAAAAGAAAAGTATAAGGAAAAAATGGATACAGGGTAATTTGTGGAGAAAAGTTAGAGAATTCCATACCTCTTTGGAAAGGACTGCATCTACCCACCAGACCCAAGTATAGGAAGGAGACAGGTATGATGGCGGTTCCACCGCCTGATATCCTTACTTTGTGATGAGATCTTGGCTAGAAGCAAATGCTCTTCTCTAGGCAGGCTTGACACATTTTTCTCTCCTGGATTTAAAGTATCTGGAGCAGGGTCCAGGGAGGAGAACTTTCAAAGACTGAGCTGGTGGGGCAAAGTCTGAGTCATAAACCAGTGGAGGTACTTAAGGGTGCCTAGACATTTAGGAGTTGCCCCCACAGACTGCACCCCAGGCTTAGGCAAGTAGAAGCAACCAGCAGGAAGAAGGGAGGAGTCACAAGCTACAGTTCCCTCAGAAATGCTTAGTGATCAAAGGAAGCTGGATCAGGCCATAGCAGCCCTTGGGGTTATCTGCCTCTTCCCCTACTTGGCACAGATGTAGACCTTGAAGTTACAGGGAGAAGGTGGGGATCAAACCCATTAAGCTGAGATCCAAGTCCAGGCTCTAAGGCATTTATGACAGGGAGTGGAGGGGATAAGGTCTCTGTTCTGACTCATAAAAGAAAACAAGACACAGGTCATATAGACACACTTAAGTCAACACAGTGAAGGCTGCAGGAGGCCAGCGAGACTAGCTTTCTGAGCTTGTATTATTCATTCAGCAATTCTCTGTGAGGGCACACAATGCGTACCTCTTCTACAAATCCTGGACACATTTCTGGCTCCTTTCCTCAGGGGTTACCTAGATGTTTAAGTCAATACCTATAGAACAGCAGTTGGTAAACTATTTCAGTAAAGGGCCAGTTAGTAAATATTTTATTTGAAGAACATATAGCCTCTCTCTGTCATAACTACTAAAATAGGCCATTGCAGCACATTAGGTATATCTATGAACTAATAAAAGTTAATTTTAAAAACAAGAAGCAGGACAGATTTGCCCCACAAGCTATAGTTGAATACCCCTGCTATAGACTGTTTTTTAATATAAACACTTGCAACATGGCAACTTATTAAGAGCACAGAAACTAGAATCAGACATCCTGGATACAAATCCCAGCTCTACAACTTCCTGAGTCTGTGACCTTGGAAAAGTCATTAAATCCTTCTACACCTCAGTTTTACCTCTGTAAAATTGAGAATAATTATAGTACTTGTTATTAGGGCTTTTATGAAAACCAAAATAAAATTTTACATATGAACTACTTAGCACAGTGTCTGGCAAAAAGTAAATTCCAGAAAATATGTTACATTTAAAATTTTTCAATAAATAAATTAATCTAAATTCTCCTTTCTCATTCTTAGAAAACAAGTTGTACTAATTCATGGTAAAAAAAGAATATTTCAAGAATCTTGGTTTAAAGTTCTAGTTATATTACTAAATAAAACAGAGATAATCTTAGACAAGTCATTTGCCTTTATGGGACTCAATTACTTCACCTGTAAAATGAAAAAGGTGATCTAAATTTATCATTTTTCAAAATTATTTTAGGGAGCAAAACTATTTACCCAAACAGAATCTTTTTTTTTTTAAGATTTTATTTATTTATTTGAGAGAGAGAGAGCACATGAGAGGGGGGAGGGTCAGAGGGAGAAGCAGACCCCCTGCTGAGCAAGGAGCCCGATATGGGACTCGATCCCGGGACTCCAGGATCATGACCCAAGCCGAAGGCAGTCGCCTAACCAACTGAGCCACCCAGGCGCCCTCCCCAAACAGAATCTTATAGTAAACACTCACTATCTATGGAAGATGAAAGTGGAGATTTCCTGGTGGGGTTAGGAGAGAGAAAGAAAATGAGCAGGGCTAAGGGGACCCAGGGACCTGCCCATTTGTATGGCTGCCCACTCAGACAATGTGATTAGCCCTGAAGCACCAGCAAGGAATCTTGATGGCTCTAAAAGCACATTTGAGAAACATAAGACCAGATTGCACTTAAAAGTCCTTTAAGTCTCAAAACAAAAAGACAACCTGCTGAATGGGAGAAGATATTTACAAATGATATATCCAATAAGGAGTTAATATCCAAAATATGTAAAGAATTTATACAACTCACAGGGCACCTGGGTGGCTCAGTTAAGCATCTGACTCTTGATTTCTGCTCAGGTCATGATCTCAGGGTTCTGAGATCAAGCCCTGTGTTGGGCTCTGTGTTCGGCAGGGAGTCTGCTAGAGATTCTCTCTCTTCCTCTCCCTCTGCCCCTCCCTCTGATCGTGCTCTCTCTCTCTTTCTCTTTCTCTCTCTCTGTAAAATAAATAAGTGAATCTTTAAAAAAATTACACAACTCAAAACTAAAGCCCAAAATCAAACAAATAATCTAATTTAAAAATGGTCAGAGCACCTGAATTGACATTTTTCCAAAGAAGACACATGGAAATATGCTCAACATCACTAATCATAAGGGAAATGCAAATCAAAACCATAATGAGATATTACCTCACACCTGTCAGAATAGCTAAAATAACACAAAAAATACCAAGTGTTGGAGGGGATGTGTAGAAAAAAGAAGCCTCATGTACTCTTGGTGGGAATGAAAATTGGTGCAGCCACTGTGGAAAACAGTATGGAGTTTCCTCAAAAAAATAAGAATAAAATTACTATATAATCCAGCAATTTCACTACTGGGTATTTACCCAAAGAAAATGAAAACACTAATTTGAAAAGATACATTCACTGCTATGTTTACTGCGGCATTATTTACGATAGCTAAGATATGAAAGCAACCTAAGTATGCATCAAGATAAATACCACATTTTTTCTTTCATATGCGGAATTTAAAAAACAAAACAAGGAAAAAAGATTAAAAATAGACTCTTAAATACAGAAAACAAACTGGTGGTTGCCAGAGGGGAGGTGGGTGAGGGAAGGGATGAAATAAATAAAGGGGATCAAGAGTACACTTACCATGAGGAGCACTGAGCAATGTATAGAATTGTTGAATCATTACAGTACATACCTGAAACTAATATAGCACTGTATGTTAATTACACTTCAATAACAAAAAAAAGAATTCTTCTAGTTTCAAATTATGTCACTAACTCATATCGTTATATATTCACCTAATCAATATTTCCAGGTTATAACAGGACAATCATAAAGGCATGGCCCTGGGATGGCTAGATGAGAAGTTCACAGGGTCCCTCACTATCTAGTATGGGAAGCATAGTGTTTGAAGTCAGAAAGAACTAGGGTTTGTATCCTGTCTGGCTTCTTCCCAACTATTTATTTAACCTTTCTGAGCCTTGGTTCCTCATCTACAAAATAGGAACAATGAAACTTCCATGACTGAAACATTGTGAGAATTAAATAAGCTCGCATTTGCATGAACCTTG